CGTGAAAGAAAGGCTTACATGCTCGATCTGCGACATCTTCATAATGCCAACACAAAGTGCAAATGTGTTTCCCTCTGCCGATTATGGGCCTGCATCCAGTTGTGTAAAGAAACATTTGTTACAATGGAGTTTTGTGGTAAGATTGGAAAGTAATAAAAAATTAACTCTATAGCCAAGAGTTATACTGGCAGGAATCCCTGGAAACCTTTTAAGAACTTTTTAAAGACCCTTTCCATACATTTTAAGACCTCATCGCCACTTGGAGTTCTAACCGGTTACCTTGGCGACACACTTTACCTCACATTGACTATATACAGTATTGATTGTCCTTCCTCCTTATCTTCCAACCATTTGGACGCAGACTTGCATTTCCCCATAACGATGTTGCTTAACAACCGGCGTAAACGGACCTTCGCGCGCTATCAAGCAGTGAGCGTGCGATGTCCTGTTCAGATGACGTCAAATCCAACGAGATGCCATAAATAAACTACACAGAATCACACTACACACCTACGCAATGATTACATTCAGGCAGACTGTAGAATACAACCTCTTTGGACAATTGATATACTTATTAAAAACAAGCTACAAAATGTAATACCTTGGAAAATGCCGTTTAATACTTTTTAATAGCCTTCATTTTTGCTAAATTGATTTATCAACTTTTAATACTTTTTAAGACCCCGCGGACACCCTGTATTCATGTATAAGACTGCATTTTATCTTGTTTAAAATTCTAATACAAATATTGTAAAAAATGAAGACAGATTCGCAGCTGAAAGATTACCACAAGAGTCTTAAAAAGGCCTACAGTCTTACATGTTTCCATATTTAAAAGGTCACTTTAAAAGCAGAGCAATTACTGAGTGTATCCAGGTTAGACTTTGAGCCGTGCTCAGTCAGTTAAAATAGACTTTCTTCACAGTGACCTCATTCAGTGTCCCATGAAACACACTGGGCAGGAGGTTAAAGAGTGAATCCTGGTTTCAGGGATGCAAACTCATCAGGTATGAAAAAGGTGACGAGGATCCGAACCCTCGGAAAATTCATCCAAGTAATGACTGAAAGCAAAACATTGACAAAGCCTTTAACACGTCGTGCTTGCCCTAATGCTCGAGTACAATGTGTCAATATTAGGTTATTTTGCAGCTGAAAAAACAAACATCTCTAAAAATAATATTCATCATCTGAATCTACAGCTCTTTAAACACACAAAACATGTTCCCTAAAAACTAAATGTTGACTGGAAAAGTGACCCAATAAACAAACAGTCATGATGAAAGAGGGAAACTGTGAAATGCCTCGGATAACAATGAGTTCATTCAAGTGCACTCAAAAAAACACTCTGAAAACAGAGCTGCCATTTTTCCTCATCTTCCTCCCCGTTCTATGTAGGCTGCGTAACCACAGGCTACACATTCCTATCAAACTCAAAGCAGCTAAAAGTTTACTCAGTGGTCCGAGTTCTGAAGTCCCCTCCCGACCCGGCCAAACGAGCATGAGCACTGATACCAGACTGGGCCACAAATGTATAATAAGCCTTTATAGAAACAAACTAAATAGAGGGGAAAGGGTGTCACCTTCCTCGTATCTCTATTACAAACGTACTCTACTATTTACATGAACATAGATGTGTTGATATGAACATTTGCATATCTTTAGTAAATCAACAACTATAGAACTGTTTGTTCCCCACGCTGCGCAGCGCTGTAACCTTGATGATGAGGGTTCTGTTTTTCCTGCGTTATCATTCAGTTTCCCCTAAGGGAGGTTTACATTTAGGGTCTTGATCAAGGGCAATTCAGCACGACAGATGTTTTCTCTTCTCAGTTTGAGTATGTAGCGGTCTGCCTGCTCACTGCACCACATTTGGGTCGACGTCCCTCACCATGAGGTAGAAAGAAAAAAAAAATCCCCCCAGGAAGTGCTAATTTTAGGAGCTCAAAAAAGGTCCAAACAAAGGTTAAAGAGAACATTCTGTAAGTAGGACGCAATGTGGGAAGCTTAACACACAGTTCAGTAAAGCAGACAGGATGCAAGTGATCCAGGATCTGTGTGTGAAGGTATCAAGTCTGGAAACTGACAGGATGCAAGTGATCCAGGATCTGTGTGTGTGAAGGTATCAAGTCTGGAAACTGACAGGATGCAAGTGATCCAGGATCTGTGTGTGTGAAGGTATCAAGTCTGGAAACTGACAGGATGCAAGTGATCCAGGATCTGTGTGTGAAGGTATCAAATCTGGAAACTGACAGGAATAACCTTGAATGAATGAGTGAGGGGCAAACTGAATGAACACGTAGATGGAAGGAAGGATTCAGATTCAAGATGCAGAAGCAACTGAAACTCAAATGACCCAGTTCTTTGCCAGATGTTGGTTTTCCAGAATAAAATACAATTATCAATAATAACACAATCTCCCATAACATAAACAATTTAAGAGATTATTCAGCATTTAGAGCCCGACTTGAAAAAGCTAGCAGAGTGCTATTTGAGGGTTTCCTGTAAAAACATTAAGCTGTGGAGAGACTTGTCTCAAATACTGACGAGCATTTACAGAAGTGACTAGCTTCTTGCTGAATACGGTGTAAAGTTCATCTTAACAATTTGCATGTTTTACCAAAACAAGATTTTGAGATAATCAAATGAATTGTAGACATTGCCCTGGACCTACATTAAACTGTATATTTGTAACACTCATGTTCTACAGTAAGTCCTCAGTAAGAACTAATAAGAAGGGGTACGGCAGTAAGAAAGTATTGAGAGGCACGTTAACAAAATGCTGGGTAGAACAACAACGACCAAGACCTTACCTGGTGGTACTCAGACAGGATGTTGTGCATGTCTGCCACATCCTCGCTGGAGATCTGCTTGATGACCAGCGTCCGGTCGTAGGAGTTGAGGAGCAGACCCTCTCCCTGATCGTCTACACTCCTCACCGGGGGGCTGCGTGTCAACGAAACCTAGAAAAGCACACAGTTAAGAGTAGAAATTAGCCTTTTAGTTTTAACTCAATTTTTTTTAATAATTTGTTTTAATATGTTAAAAAAAGTTTGTTTGTATCGGATATTTTAGACAAACAAGGCATTTTAAAAGCACTTTACATCAACCATCTAAAAACGGGTGCTATAAAATAAATACATAATAAAGACCATTTAATTAAAAACAGTTGTTAGATACATCCCTATAGGACAAAGAAGTCTCATCAGATACTGAATATCACTTCACATACCTGATAATCCAGATCCTCAATACCAAACCGCTCCCTAAGATTTCGGAAGACCTGAGGACAGTACTCTTTGAATTTGAAATGTCCTGGGAGATTTTCTCTGCAAAATGAGAAGACGTAAGAAAGTGAAAAAGAGGTGGCTGAACACAAAGGAACAAAAACATTTTTTATAGCAGACAGCACACAGACGTCAGGATTCTTTCATATGTGTATGTTCCTCTGCAGGTTAGCCTATACACATTGTCAGGTACATTTTATTTTAGGTGCAAGTATTCACATTTCAACCAATTCATTATCTGCTTATGTCTTACTTGTTAAAGAGGTGGTTGTTGACTTTGATCTTAGTGTTTGCTTTAAAGTCGTCAGGCAGCAACATGACGGGAACAGGCACCTGGTTAAGATCATTGATCTGAAAGAAAGAAGGTAACAACAATGTTAGCATTTCTTTCATTTTAAACATGTTGCATTGACTGGGATTCATGACACTAAATGTTAGGCTACAAAACCATCGCCATTCATATGCCTGAGAGGGTAACTATAAACTAGTTCAGATCTTTGAGTACTTGTACTTCGAGTAATAGGATATACATTACTGCACTGACTAGTTATACTACATTATTTCCTTTAGTACACTAAATCTTTCAGTATGGCCATACAATGATTGTTGGTAGCTGCTACCAGAGTTCACCGTATTTCCATAACATTTTAATAGCTGTGTAGCTGTGACCCAATACACTTTTGTTGATGTTTGCTGTGTAACATAAACAGCTGCAGTGCTGTAAAGTAACTAAGTACATTTACTATAGAACTGTACTTGAGTATTTAAATGTTTTGTTACATTTGTACTTCGTTCTACCCCAGAACAATTCAGAGGTAAATCGTGTAATTTTACTCCACCACATTTGTTTAACACTTGTAATTACTTTACAGATTTGGATTAATCATGTGAAATATAAAATCAACATTTAAAGCAGACTTTAGTTCCAAATTCACAAGCTACCCTGACGCATACAAAGTCATTCAAACCTTTACCGGCTCTGATAACACTTTAATGCATCAATAATTATAATCAAAACATATAATATATATTATTTTGAAATGGGCCAATCTGCATAATGAGTACTTTTACTTTTGGTACTTAAAGTTTATTTAGCTGCCAATACTTTTCTACTTTTATTGAGTACAATTACTGGTAACAGAGAAGTCCTACACTCAGGTACTTCTACTTTTACCGAAGTACAAGAAAAGAGAACTTCTCCCATCCTGAACAGCTGTTTACAAGTCTGTCACTAGATCCTAATGAACCCACCTGTCAATAATTAGTCAAAGCATCTGAGTTTTTAACCACAGATGATCTTCTAGGGTCACAGAATCTCACAGATGTTGGTAAAGTTAGCTAACTGCTAACTAAGCTAAGCTACGTTTACATGGCAGAGATATGTTAGCATTAGCTTCCAGCGACTCACCGAGTGATTGACGCCCCACATGAAGACGCTCAGGACGGGGTCGCTGGCTCGAAAAACCTTCACCTTCTGCTGCACGAAATGTTTCTTTTTCGTTTTAGTCTTCGGAGCCAAGACCACCATGGGACTGGAAATAGCTCCGGAGTTACCGAGGGCAGCCATGACCGCAGACGGGCTCTTCTCGTTCGTCTTCCTGGAAGCTAAACGAGCTAACGGCTCTAGCTAACGGCTCTAGCTAACGTCTCCTCCCCGGCCACAAAAAAACCAAAGGTCACCTGTCGAGCTTCGGTTCTTTTACACTGTCTCTATTTTTCAAAACCTGGCGAGCTGAATCATTAATTAACTTCATTAATGCGTGACTATATTATTTCCCAAATCATTGCTGCTGCTGACAGTCCACCTCCGCCCTCTCGAGCCCACCCATGTTATTATCAACCACGTGGTGAGTTTGTGATTGACAGGTGGCAACGACCAGTAGAATCGATATAAGTGCGTCAGGTGACCTAAAGTGGGCGGTTCTGGCAAAGTTGCATGGTGCTTTCAAGTAAGAGAGGTCAGTCTGATTTATCACCTCTTTAATTCTGTTATCTCATCACTTCGTCTAACTTCAGTTGTACTAATCTTTTAATCAAATAAAAATGTGTGAAATAACAACAAACATACTCTGTTGCAAGCTAAAGTAGGCTACATAAGTAATATTGGCAAACTGTAATTAAATTAAATGTATTCATTATCTAGAATGTCTAATTCTATAATCAATAAATCAGCCTATATCACACAATTATAATTAGACTAACTTTGGAGTTATTTGTACACTTCATTTTATGTTATTAGGTTGATAACATAAAACTACTTCATATACTGCAGGATAGTGTATTAGTAATACACAATAATATGTTGATTGATTTATAGTTTGTATTAATAAAATATGAATACACAAATAAAGCTCACATATATTATGAAGTATAATTACACAGCAAGTTTTTTCTTCAGATGCTTATTTCAGATGTCTACCACCTGCCCAGGAAAAAAGTTAATACAAACTAATGCTTCAATAAAAACGGGAAATAAATAGACATATGATATGTCACTTCACTGTGAATACAAAGTTGTGTTGTATATATGAATATTCAAAAGCATAACAGTTTTGCAAGATGAGGGCAATGTGCAGAAATGTGAACACAACATGGTCATACCAATGCTCCAAACACTAATGGACAATGATTAAGTGATAGTGATACAGACAGACAGCTTTGTTGGATCAAACCATGCATGGTGGTTATGTGTGTTCAGTGTCCTACTTAGTGGTCAAATTTAAGCAGATGCATTCAACTCTCATTATGGTTACCCACAAATATATTTGTTAACCTCTAGAGGGCAGTAAGATTCTAAAAACAAAGGACAAAATCATGATTTGAGGTACCTGTAGACATCTGACAGAAACAGAGCTACTGTACACACTATTTATTATAACCCTGTTTTGTTTAAAATGGGGAATGTAATTCTTGCAATGTGGTTTTCCACTTCCATCAAGTTGTTGGACTTGTGAGAGACAGATATAATACAAAAAAAGCTGTGTCAGAATTTAAGATATCCAGGGCTTTAATCCCTACTATTGGAAAAGAAGAACATTCTTTTTCTTCTTTCTTATATTTATAAAAAATAAATAAAATGTTATTTACATTGCACGTAAATAATACGTCTTACATACTCAATACAGTGGACAATCACCGCAGGAGCAATTTGGGGTGAAGTGTTTTGCCCGGGGACACAACGACATGCTGACTGCAGTGGTTTGAACCCTGATCCGAACACCAACGCACAACCCACTGCGCCACACGCCTCCATTTAAGTTAAACATTGATGATTAATTGACAATGTGACATAATATACATTTAACAAACACAATATGTGTTTAAACTACAACTGACATGCATAGAGAATAGCAGAAGAACACAAAATCAGTCATTTACAAAAAGAGGTATTGATTGATTTGATTTACTTTTAATATCAGAGGTGGTCCAAGTCAGATAATTTAATGTTTTCCTGCATACAAGAAAATAGCAAATGTACCTACTGTTATAACTGTCCACAACTACCGGTAGTTAATACAAGTCAATATACACTTGTATACCGATTAGCTTATGATTTGCAAATCTACTTTCTCAACTTATTGTCTTTGACTTTATCACAAAATGCTGATCGTATATATTTAATATCATGTACCATTTTGAAATGAGCAACTAAGAGGTTAAATGAACCCCAGGTAAAGCAGTGTTTCATGTCTGTGTCATAGTTGGGTGTGTCCAGAAGTGTGCTTTGTTGCACCTGTAACCTCTTGCAACAGTTATGTCACAATTCGGCAGATTGCACTGTTACATAACTGGAGAGAGGTGAAGAGTTAAACCACTATTATGCAATAGTTTCCAGGGAACGGTAACTTACTCATTTTCTTCTTCTATATTCTAGTTTTCTATTTGAATGTATGACAGCATTACCATGTTATTTTGTTTTCCAAATGTGAGGCCTGTCAGCATTCAATTGTAGTAAACAGTTCATTTTTCCAAAATGCTTTGAATGCAGCACGGTTTCCAACATACATCTTCGTACACAAGCTCTATTTTTCCCTTTGGCTAAATCTGACACATTTACATCTTAATGATGCTTTTCATATGTGTTGTGTCCAATAAATAACAAAATAATAGAAAAGTAAAATATAGGGAACATCCCCAAATGTATTTGATGTTGAAAAAGCAATTTACTTGGTGCGTTAGAACAAATGTGTTATAGAAATATTTTTGGATTGATTATCAGTTTTTACTTTTGATCTGTTTTAGCATGTAAACATTTTGTAATATTTGACCAAGAGAATGGAAGCACTCCAACTATCTGCTTGCAAGACATCTGCTTTCAATGTTTAATTTTGGATAAAAAACTGTATGTATCCTTATTCACATCATACTTGTCATTTTTAAGTAAGTTATACAGAACGGTGGATGTATTGTGCTTGCATCTCATGCTTAATGCACAGAAAAGAATCGCCAAGAATAGCAGAGCACCCTACATAGAGAAGTAGGACGTGTGGTGGTGTGATTATACAAAGGATCATGCTTCCTCCTTCATTTTCTGCAAGGCCTTCATTTCATATCACGCATGGACAAATGGGATATTCTATGCTGTTACCTTGGAAACAGGCATGTATCTGGTCTCTGTGTTGCAGAGCAAGAGAAAATCATCCTTTATGTGCCTAGTAATGGCAGAAAAGCAGCATGACTCTAATGTGCTCTAATGTGTAATTTCAATTTCACTGCATAAGGAATGTGAGCATAAAGCCTCAAACTGAAATACACAGTAAGCTGTCCAAGTGCGTCAGAGGGACCCTTAGTAGTAAAGGCTTCAGAAGTCCCCATATTTGTTAAGACATGATTTAGTGTTGTCTGCCTTCATTATTTGTATCACTTTGTCACCATCCTGACAGAACATTTGATTGTGTTATTACTTGGAATAATGGAAGGAAGTATTTGGGTTACTGGTGTTCCAAAAGGTCTGCTTCTCCGAGGCCTGGGCAGTGCATTACTGTTTTGATGTGTTAGTTTCATCAAGGTTATATATCTTTTTTTGTCTTTTTTATAATTAGCTGGCAGCTAGCAGTCAGTCAGTCAGTCAGTCAGTCAGTCAGTCAGTCATTCAGTCAGTCAGTCAGTCGGCCCAAAGTGTCCTGTGGGATACATTTCCTGAAATTCAATGGTGATCCCCAGACTTTCCCTCTAATGCTATATCAATAGGCTTCATGTGTGGTTGTGATTGTCAGTGTCAAATATCTGGATAACTCTTGAATTGCAATTTAGTTGTGACTTTGTTGTCCCCCTCACGATCCTTGATTCTATATTAGTGCCAACTATGGGTCAAAAGGTTGATTTGTCCAATTCAGAAAATGTCCCACTGACACAATTCAAGTTATTTGAAAATGTACTAAACCCGGCTAAAAGTTGTCAATGTTACACGGGGCACATGAAAAAACAGCGGACTGATAACAATTCTATACTTTTACCACTCACATGTTAAAACTGACATGAACCCAGGCCAATATAATGCATTGTCAATTATACCAGTTAGCAGAGGGTCAACTGCAGAGTAGAAATCTGTTAAAATACCTTCAAAGCCTTTGAGTTTCCCATCAGCCTCAGCTGAGCTTTTTGTTTATTGCCAACTAGCAAATATAAACATGCTAGAATGAACTTAGATGCTAAACATGTTAGCTTTAAACCTGCTAAACATCAGACAGGCTGTATTGTTATTGTTAGCATGTTGCCATGCTGTCGTTTGCATTTACCTCAAAACACTAATGAGTACAGTACCTAAAAGCCATCGTTTATTGACTCTTTTTTGATGATTATAATTGCTATTGAGGATCAAATCTTTTGTATGATAATAATTATAATATTTTATAATTGTGTTAAATATCCGATTTCCGAATGGAAATATTTCAATCGTTGTATAAAAGTAGCAATGAACAACACAATACAACAGTGTAAAATACTATGAGGAATCAAATTCATGCGTTCAAACTCTTTCCTCAGTAAAACTACATACTGTAGGTATTCTATGCAAAATGCATCAAAAGTAGAAGTAGGCCTACTCATAATGCAGAGGGATTGCTTTTACAGTTTAAAATACACTGTCTTATTACTCTTAGTTAACAGTAGGTTACATTTACATAAACGGCTCAGTTGGATCTATGTTTCTTGTTTAAATCATGTTTTGTATGCAAAAAGTTAATCTTTAGAGTTAATAGTAACTGTTAACTGTTGACTGAAATGTTGGGATGCAGACAATAGTAGCCTAAAGTTTAATCACAAGAACCTGACGTCATTGTACTTTCTCTTACTTTCATGACATATCTGGGGTATCCATGTTGTTTATGTTTTTGTGTAACTTAAAGCCAAAAACGTGATAGATATCTTCTTCGTCAACTTATCATCATTATCAACAGCAGCATTATTCAAATTCATCACAAATACCTTCATCCGATAAAAAGAACACACCCAACAGCCATTGTTATATTAATATATGTTTAATTCTTCTCCATTTTTATTATCATTATGTTTTATTTTCATATTTGCAAATCTTACAGGTCCTTTGTGCATGGACCTTTCATCACGGCACACACATTGGCACAACAAGATTGTTCAGAAATAGATAAATTCTAATCACACTTTAATAGCACACCATTTCATGACTTTTGCAAGGACTTGGGAGAGACATAACAATAACAAATTCGATTTTTTTTTTCTCTACTGAACTCAGAATTTGTGGTATGATGTGCCAGAAATAAAACATAATAGTAACATGGATATTCTCAACTCTCAAATAAACAAAGCATAAATAAAAGGAAAATTAAAAACATGAGATATAACCATAAGATGTGCAGCAGTTGAATAGAGCTCTGATGAATGATGAGTTTTGCCATAAAGGTGCCTTTCAAGCACAACACTTCCCCTAACATGAAATAAAATAATCTCTGTCTTTAAATAAGAAACTGCTGACAATATAAAAATACATGGCATTGTACTGTAGTTCATTAAATAAACCAACAATTCATATATAAAATATTATATTGACGTGTATAAAAATATGCCTTACAACTTTTTGAAAAGGGTAACAGCCGTAAGCTTTTTGTATGCCACTTCAGAACACACAGTCAACCACAAAAATCCAACATATGTACAAACAATCAACTAATAAGCAGTCAGAACGCCATTTTGACAAATAAAATGAACAAAAGCATCCAGGATCATATTTGTAAGATTATTTTTTCTGACTTGACATATATATACTGTAAGATTCAAGCAGTACTTGATGGAAACACATACTCAAAAATAAATTAATAGAAAAGAAATATTCTGTCAATTAGGTATGTTGATATCAGTGTATCTTTGGAGAGAGGGAGAGAGGACGGTGAGGGAGACACATTTTTCAAACATTTGTGTCGCATCACCTGCGTAACAGTATTTCAGCCCACTGAGATCAGAACAAACACAGGCAGTGTCAGCTATCCTAAACTAAAAAGTAAAATAAAGATCTACCAGAAAGCCAGGACAAGAGCCAGGGAATATAGAGATCATTCGGAGTAATACCGCTTGGATCACTGAGGCAGTTCACAGAGCATTAATGTAAGCATGCAGCATGTCACCAGACGACGCAGAGGACGCTGCTGCAACTGTTGAACATTCAGGCAGATGTTATTGTTGCTGCTGGACTGTGAGTGTGTGTGTCTTGCTTTAGAGAGGACATGAACGTTAACTGGTATGTATTTTCCATAGGAAGTGGTTTATCCCTGCTACCTCCTGTCCAGGCAGTGTCTAGCACATGCTAAAGCCACCCTCTCTCCCTGTGCTCCTGCTCCTCCACCACCTCCTCCTCCTCCTCCACCACCTTCTCCTCTTCCTCCAGGCTCAGAGCAATTGGACAGACTCATGCCTCACTCCCCATCGCATGGTAAAGTGCCATCTTCGCTGGCACGTGAGGGCACAGGCGTGCCGAGTTCATCCACGCACCAGCAGTGGCCACGCTGCATGCCCTTGGAGGAGCGGCACTGTGTGGGGTTAAAAGACAGAGGGATATTTTGAAAGGGGAAGGAGGGGAGTGGGAGAAAAGGTGGTGAGAGAGGAAGAGAGAGAAAATGATATGTCATCATAGCGCAGTATTGAGAGGCTCAGAGGATGAAGTGTCACATATTCTCCTGTGGTCACAGACAAATCTCTGGATGCACCGAAAAGAAAGCTGCAGTGGGGTGCAGCTCTCAGAAAGACACACAGTTACACAGCAGCAAAGACACATTTCCAGATCACATAAGAGCCAATAAAGTTACAGGTGTGTGTGACAGTCTACCTGCTTTTTCCTGTAGAAGCCACGGGTGTCACAGTTGGGTATATAGATGTCACGGTCAGACTGGAAGATTGTCAGCTCCAGACCCCTCAGGACAAGATTCAGCAGCTTGCGGCAGGGTGCCTGAAAACAGCAACGCAGAGTGTGACTAACATAACCAGAAGCAAAGACATGTTCATCTAAAGAGTGGCCGTGGCAAGCTGCTGTTTCCCCTCAGCTGATTGTGCTGTCAGAAATCCTCTTTGATCACAACAAATGTGGATATGAATCACAAAGGATTTGCCACAGTGTCGCAGCATTACAGCCAGAAGCAGAGAATATGTATATCAGATGTCACATATTGTGTAACATTATATAACCATATTGTTACACAATGCTTTGGCTTTTCAGGTCAGTGGATGGTTTGAAGTGCGTCTTGCTGTCACTTTCGGAAATGAATCTGTGTCCTCTTTATCAATTATGTGATTATTGTCATCCATATTATACATAGTATGCATTAGTTCAAATGCTGGAGATCACCCAAATTGCAAAGTGTAAAATGTGAGGCGGCAGCGGCCGACTTGAAACTTTCCTGATTCACATCATGCTCAATTAGTTCTGCCGCATAGCAGCACACACATCATGCACCATAATGCATGGCTTCAGGGCAGTGTGTGTACATGCCACTGCAACACCCTAAACGACAGAGAATCCATGGTAATAACTCTTTATAACACAATGCAGCTCAATATACAGCCCTCTGTATCACATCTGATGTGTTTAACACAATAATGTTTGGTAAAAATGCTTTTGACATCTCAGATTTTTGACCATTTAGGTGAAGCTCCACTGTGAGCTTCACTCGTGAAAGACTGTAAATCAAAAGCAGGAACTTACTTTTTCAATGTCACCACCGTGTGAGGGATGGGGACCTGAGAGCAAACGACACACCGGCATGAGAATGTGACATTACAGCAACGTAGCCGATAACATCAAACCACAACCACATTTTACAATATAAGCTGCCCTTATTGGTGTATATCTTTGTATCACTGAGCAGTCACTCAGAAGGATCTATCTGGAGTGGCCATTCAATGAGAGACCTAATTTCCATCAGTATGCTTCCTTTTCAGATAGTTCATCGCAGTATCTCAGTTTGAACAGTAGATGGAGATCACTGCAATAAAAAGCAGCTTGATTAGGATGTAGGTGACACTGACAGTTTCACATTTGTTCTTAATTCTCTACAGAGAGGCTGACTTGTAGTGCAGATCGTTTCAAATGAATTGAAATGGATTAAATGTATAACATTTTTTATCAATGCAGGGATATTTTCACGTATACACTGTTGCAGCAATCTGAGATTACATTTGAGATCCTTGTTTTATGTGATTTGCCATCATTTCTGATCTTCTACAATCGGAATGACAAATTACAATTGTTCACAGTCTAACAGTAGTAGATGCTTGAGGTCTTCAAATTAATCTGTGGTGCATAAAATGCATCCAGGCTTAAATGTCACACACTATTTGGCCTTTCTTTTTGTTGGTAAGTGACACAGCATCACATGCAATTCACAGCAATACAGGAGACACTCTGTAAAAACATTACTCTGTGGTGGATGTGCACTTGTCCAGCCCACCTGCAGTGTCCACGCAGGTCTGAGTGCATCTCTAGGTGCATGCATGTACGTGTGCATACGTGATTTCATGCACGTGTGTATACAGTATCTTACCTGTGGGGTGGGGCCTCTCAGTGGGACTAGTCCTGCTGTGCTTGGCGCAAATGCCCCTTCCCTGCAACAGAGCCTGGAGGGGGCTGTGCTCCCTTGGTGGGGGAACACAGCGGAGCCCCTTGGCACAGCTCAGGGTGTACACACCACAGGGCTCTCCCTGGGCCAACACTGACGTGCTGCCGGCAACATTATGGTCTCTGGGGGGCCGACCTGCCCCCAGTGGATCCCTGCAGGAGGGACAGACCTTGAAGGGGCCCAAGCGGTTTGCCCCGGTCCATGATCCGCAGTGAGCAATCAGCAACAAAACAACGGTTGTTAAGTAAGAAAGAAAAGGCATTTTGTGTCCAGGTCTCAGGTTCTCCACTCTGTCACTCTCTGTCAGTTAAATGTGGCTGATGCTATTTCTGGATGTATATTTCTCCCTTAGTCTCTCTCCCTTTTCTCTCCCCTTTCCTCAGTCTTCCTCCCCGTTTCTATACAGTAGCTCTCCTTGGTGCTTTGCCGGTTGAGTCCCCTGCAGTGCCAGAGGAGACAAATGGAGATCGAGAGAGAGACAGCAAAGCACCAGCTTTTAAAGATCTGAAAGGCGGTGATAGAGAGTGAGTGAGTGAGAGAGAAAGAGAGGGAGAGAGAGAGAGAGAGAGAGAGAGAGAGAGAGAGAGAGAGCACAGTTATGACACCTTCAGGGGCTGGGACTCAGAGAGAGAGAGAGAAAAGGGGAGAGAGAGAGAGGGAGGTGGCAGGGAAGGAGAGAGAGAGAGAGAGCAAGTGGGGGGTGGATTATGTTCCTTTCAGAAATTATCAAAATCACTCCACCCTTTCCTGTTATACACTAACACATACATCCAACCCGTCTTCTTCCACTCATTCTGAACGTTACAGATGATGAATCAGAAGTAGTGATGTTCTGCTTTTTGCACTTTCTTCCCAGTGTCAGAGACCTTTCTGGAATCATATTTGCCATGGTAACAAATACAAATGTACACGTGCCTCCATCAGCCTCGCCACTGCAATGCCATTTGCTACAATACATGCACAGCTGCGTGGTTTCTCCCGATGTGATTATGTGGAGAATATTTCCTGGAAGAACATGACTGCTCCACCTGAGAAACTCTGTCTTTTTGTCAAATCTGAAACACATCTCAAAGTTCAGAGACTGTTGAAGTAATGAGTCATGTGCAAAATACATCTGTAAAGATTTAAAGTCTTGTAACAGAAAAGTATTTTAGTCACTAACTTTAATATTATCATTGTGTGATTTTTACTTTCCAATGTTAATTTACTGGCTTTCACGTCTTTGCTTAGCTTGGGAAAACTCCTTATTAAGAAGATTTGTTGCAATGTTGTTAGTTACAATCTATTTGCACCGACAGTATGACCTTCGACTTCTGTGAACTGAGAACATCCTGATGCTGCCTCCATGACTTCCAGGAGGCTCCTTTCAGTATTGCCAAGCTTGTAACGTTCAATCGGATGCTCTCTGTACGACTGACTGGACCACAAAGACAGCTGAATGGTTTGATTCTTGATCCACATTTGATGGATGCAAATGCCACCACAGTCTGATCTCCTAAATGTGCTTCTTCCAAATGTTAGAATATTCCAAAACTGAAGTGTAAGATAAGACTTTATGTTTCATACACTAACTAAAACTGAGCCTCAGCATTATCTAATCCCTGCTGAGTCAGGTATGTAAAGCATTGCCTCTACAGCGCTTTTACATTTTTAAATAAACTTCTACTAACAACCATCAGATATTAACTGACTTCATGGACGATATTACATATTGAAGTTTGAGAACAGCGAAAGTACTTTGCTCAGCAAATGTTTGAATTGGAAGAGAAATCATCTGGATAATTAGGAGAAGGAGGAGGAGGGCTCACTTTTGCAGGAATGCACATTGACCAGCCGGAGTCAAACTCCTAATAATTCCTCCACTCAGTTAGGATTGGCTAACTATGATTTAACCAAAAGCAACTTTGCAGGAATTATTTATGCAAGATTTTGAGTGATTTTGTTTAAAAGTCCTCTATATAACCTCTATAAAACGAGAAACTCTATTAAAGCAACGCATTTTTGTAGTTGTTGCACTCGAGTACTTACGCTCTATTTATGAAACGGCACATTATGGCACTGCAAGAATGAGTTAAAAATGAAAGTGGTTCAAGGATCTGACCATGACAATCATTGGGTGTGTTCAGGATTCCTCTCTTATCTAAAGTCTCATTGTCTCCTGTGTTATCTGACAACTGCATTGCTGCGAAAGGCGCTACGTAGACAGATGAACATCATGGACATTACACCAAATTAGTCATTCACTTGAAACATGAACATCATTTGGGTATTAATCTAAACTATGGGACTTGTTTTTGGTGCTGCGAGCAATTGCCTGCATGGCCCTAGATGATTTGCAGTAGAGTAAAGACATGGCAGGGCACACGCAGACATACCCACTGGTCCGTACTTCCCACTGGAATGCAGGGCTACATGAGGCCAATCATCTGCTCTGCCATCAGCAGCCTGTTGTTCTGATTAATCTTGGCAAGGAGGGCAGAAATCACCTGCCGTCTTGTGTTGCCATCAGCGTGCAAGTTAGCCCGTTTCCACATACCCGGAGAATGTTCCAAGACACACGCCAGACCAACGGGGGCTCTCTTTTCCACTCTGCCCTTGGGTGTATTCATTTTTGCTCCTACAACCACACAGTTGTGTCCTTCTCTCTGCCTCCATGGCTCAGGTCTTTCCCAGCCAGCTGCCTCAAAGTCTCTCTGCACCAATTTCAATACAAGAATCCACTCAAAACATTGTGGTTGAACGCTTCTCTGCCCTGAAGAGCAGTATCTCCATGACTTTATGGTAATATTTCAGTTTAGGATAATGAAATTAGTACTTAATTGTAATGAAAATGAAATCCTGTGAAACCTGGGTTGAGGGCAAATGAGCTTCTTCCATTAGACAGAAGGTGAGGGTCCAATCCCTCCAAAGAACACAATCAACAATAACTGTATCCTGATATAGCCTACTAGTATTGTGATACAGTTACAAGTATTGTGATATACAGTTTCATATATCATGATATATGATTTTGGCAATATCTCTCACCCCTTGTGACTCCTTGTTTGGAGAGGGCAGCTTGGTAAAGGGCCATCTTGTCCCTGAGAGGAGCAAACTCCTAGAAAACTGCAAGACTTCCATCTGATACCATAAAACACAATATGGATAAATTAAAACAGATAGGAAATATGAAAGCTTTGACCACAGATCTAATCTTGATATTTTGAAAGAAACACTTTTGTACTTATACTTAGAACTTTAACGAGTCTTACCTGTAACAGAGTATTTTCACCCTACGGTATTGCTACTTTTTACCACCACTGCATGAAACAAACTGTAAACAGAAGGTGAAAAAACTCACGTTGCGACTAATTATTATTTTCACAATTGTTTAAGTTGGTTAAGTTTGTCAAATAAGACCCTAAAGTCAAAATATGACACACAAAAAAACAGACACACACGCAGAGAAACAGAGAGACAGGATTGGCTGAAAGATTATCACCACTTCTCAATTCTCACTGTGATTGGCTGTTCCATTAACGATCGTTACGTCACAGGCAAGCGCCGAACTCCAGTTTCCAAAGTTTTTATGAGGAGCTAAGGATAGCTGATGGACAGAAAAGTGAGTTTCTGTCGTATTTGTCACCAAGTTAACCGGTAAGTGACTGACATATCGATAATGACACCTATAATAAAGTATTGTTCTACGCTGCACTTTTAGGAACAGTCGTTCTCTTTGCTAAGCAACGAACCTGAGCTAAAGAGCAAAGAAGCTACACAACGTTAGCTGCTAACGCTGCGAATGCTTTTTTAGCTTTACGAGTATTTTAACCCCTTATAACCAACTGAGGAAATGATTATTATCTTAAGCTATGTAATAAACACAAGGCTATACACAGTTTTCATTATAAATGCCTGCCCAACGAGTCATGCTAAGCTAGCTTTATCGTTAGCATGGTTTCTAGCTTGGCAGCTTAGATGTAAACATTGGCACGCCCACCTCCCTCTCGTTGCTGTCAGTTTAAACGTCTTTTGTTTTACTATCGGAAAATCTCTGAACGTTGTTTTAAGTGACACTGGGTAATTGTGTGGACGTTTTTTACGTGTTTTACTGTGCCCTCAATGCATCCCAAAGCAAACTGAAAACTAAAATGTCTTCGTATGTTTAATAGTCATTTTGTCTCGTAGTGTTTTGTCATTGTCAATATTTGAAAAAACGCATCTTAAAAAACATATTGATTATGGCAGTTCCGTGTGTGTATGTTCACCTGGTTTTTCGTGCAAACTGATGTTACATTGGCACATGATTAGAAACTTAAACCACCTGTTCTAATTGTTTTAGTTAGTATTTAACGTTTTGTTTACATAATGGCACTTGCAACAGGTTAACCATTTCAAGTACAAGAGCAAGGCAAGGTTTAATAACAACAACAAAAAAGGTAATACATTTGAATTAAATTCATTTGAACAGCTTTTACAGTTTATGCAGTGTTTTAACGTGTAACTATATGTAGCTGTATTTGTTTCACACCCAACATATTTAGTTGACTCTAGTACCTATGAGTTGTGTCTTATGAAATGACTTTCAGAGTTCTTTGGGTTACTACAGTATTACTGAACACCATTAAACTATAAGTGAAATGGAAACTTTACAACAAGAACGATCAGTGTCCAACTGTCCATGGTAAACCGAAACTCATCTGTATTTGTACATTGTGAGAAAAAGATAAAAAGCCCAGTGTCAAGAGATTTTACATTTGTATCAATGTAAAATTAATACAATTACAACTGTTTATACAATCAATATCCTTCCAACTGTTGATAATTCACCTCTGAGCCCTCATCGGCGCCACATCTTGATCCAAAAAGGAGCACATGCTTGGAGAAAATGTGTTAAATGGTACATTTTATTGGCACTGTGATTGTAGTTTAACTTTTAGTTGTATATTTCTCCCATTCTACACAGCCTGCTGAACTTGTGTTCATTTGACCTTATTTTACCCACCATTTTTTCACAATTCAGATGGATGACATCAACGTACTACACCACAGATGCCTCCTGAATCTGAGGCGTCGAATCAGAGGTATCGGGGATGGGCGCCCTGCACAGGAACGCTACATGAGGATACAGAAGGATGGAGAGACACTCAGGTCAGCCTGTTCTCAAACTGAAGTGATAATGACGCTCTGCTTAATCTGTTCCCTTATTGTATAATTGTACTTGTAGGTCATGTGTTTTCATTCATTTAAGAATAAAAAGGACTCAGAAGCTGGTGCTGAAAAGATAATCCTGAATGTTCAGCACGTTTCTAAGCTTCAACTTGTTGCCCTAAAATATTCTAGCTGGAGGGATGCCAAGATAAAAATATTATTTTTAAAATATATATACACAATCCACCTAACAAGGACAGTATTTGTGCTGCTATGACGGATCAGACCTAAGATCCAGAGCTATTAAGCCTGTGAGGAACTTACACATTAGCTTTGTACCCTTCTTAAAGCTTTTAATGTTTGTATTTAAGATATTAGTATGGTGTTTATTTTACTGACTTACAACTAGTAGAATAGAGAAAACAGGGACATATATATACACATATATGTTAGCACTTGTTTTGCAATTTCGCATTAATAAACCCAAACAGGTCTACTGGTAACCTCAGAACCAATTTAAATGGTGGCCTGTCTCTAAGTCAGCATAACATAAAACACACAACATTTTCTCAAACATTTTAGTTTTTTTAGTGTAGCAACCACTATCCATAAATAGATCGAATAAGTAAGCTGCTAAATTTGAAGCTTATTTGATTCAAATCAAGTCTGAAGTCCCGTTGGCTATTATGCTTTTTTTAAAAACTTTAAAGTAAAAGGTAAATGTACACAGAATAAATCCATGTCTGCTTACCCCTCTATGTCTAAATTCCGTCATACAAGTGTTAGTTAGTTATAGCACAGATGGTGAGCTGTCCAAACAATCC